AATACTTCGAATAAAATATTTTTTATCATTTTCATACAATAAACGTGTATTTTCTATTAAAAAATTCCGGTTTCATATTTACATACCTGGTATATATATGTATATATATATCTACTTATATAAAAAAAATATATATATACACTCAACTTTGAGTATTAACACCTAAGTTCAGTGTTTTTTCGAAATTTTCAGTGTCTTTTTCCGTAAAGGATGTAGCTATGTAGGAAATACAGATTTACATATAGGCTATCGGTATCGCATAGTATTTGTTTACACAGTTCGTAGTTATCATGAATAAATATCACTTTGTTAACTGTACTTGAACATACGCTTGACCTTTTTGTTGTTTATTAACAAGCCAGCAATGGAAAATACCCGTTCACTTGGCATTGATATTGCATCAGGAATATATAATACTTTTTTTGTCACTTTATATAACGTAGGCATCATGTTTCCTATTTCTCCAGAAGAGAAATATCTAAAATATCTAAAATATTTTTAAAGGGTACATGTTTGCTAAATAAAATGATTATCGCCGGCACGATTCGCATGCCGCGACATGACTATCAAAATGTTCGGCGGCGGCGGCGTATCTAGTTCCACCGGCGGCGGCGCACAGTGGGCATAAAGTCGTTTTTCGTGATAAAAAATCACTCGACGGCTGAATTCTCAACCGATTGCAATGATTTTTTTTTTAAACACGCGTTAATTACTGTACTATAACGGAGAATTGCACGTTTTTTGATATTGCAATTTGTCAATTTCGAAATTCAAAATGGTGAATCCAATATGGCGGCTGCGATCTGGAAATGTAAGAACAAATTTCGTAAAATTTGCTATATGGGATTGCTGATTACGAATCTGTCACTCATATTTCAATATTCAAAATGGTGAATCCAATATGGTGGCCGTGAACTAGAAACGTAAGGACAAATTTCGTAAAATATGATACACAGGGGCGTTAATTATTAATATCAAAAATTATAATAAAATAATTGTATGAAAAGTATATCAAATTTCATAAAATTTCATGACAAATACATTAAATTTTATGTACATGTACGCAAATATATTTTTCTGTTATAAATACATTAAGTTTAATGTATAAATGTCATGAAATTGAATTCAAATTGTGTAACTTTTACGAGTATATTAAATTTCATGAAATTTTTAACAGTGTACTTTCATTAAATCTGTGAACTTTT